TAAGATCGTGTCCGCACCGGGCTTCAGCGTCAACTATCCGAAGAACGACGCCCGATCGTCGCCGACGAGGAGCTGGGCTACAGTGGTGAAGACACGGCAATAAGTGAAGGCGGGAACACGAGGGCCATTAACCCGACTTTAGGAGACCCGTTCGCACGCCATCCGGACAGCGCCCACTTTTTCGACGACTTGTAGCAGAACTCTCATTGCCTTCCACGCCCCTTTAATAACCATTTACTACCGCTACTAAATAACATCATGTTGTGATTTTGTCGCCAAAAAACTCTCGCACCGGTTATTCGGAATATGCATATGACCGAGATCTCATCGCCATAGAAATATCTTTCTAAATCAAAAATATGCCTTCCCCTCCGCCAATCATTCTCCTGTCGGGTACCCTTCTCTTGTTACTGTGCAGCTTTGTGAATCCATAGTTGGGCCTTGTCATGATAAAGATAATTTTTCAACAGTGTGAGCAGGAAAAACACGTTTTTATAGCCACACCAATGAAAGCTACATGATTTTTTAGATGCGTGACTCAAGGCCGAGAACACCTTGCTGATGTCTTTAAAAAGTAAGTTTCCGGTTTTTAGGTTACAAGGCGAGGTTTTTAGTTATTTAGGTGCAGGGATTTCGATAGAGCTTGAGATTCTGAGGCCCATCTTTCAAAAACGTATGTTCGGGAATGGTCTTCAAAAAAAGGTTTTCAAAGTTCAAATTTTATTAACCCTTGACGAAAATGGGCAAGTTCGCCTCTTTCAAAGAGGATTTTCTCGACGACCGTAGTTGTTGAGCAGTTTTTGAAACTTGCTCAGAAATTCAAACTCTATCGAATCGACTTTGTCGAATTCCGTTCGTTTCATTAAAAATAGGTTGTTCCTAAATTTTCTTTATAAAAAATCAGGCTGATCTGACAATTCTATCGCCGCTATCTAATTTGCAAAAACTGAAAAAGTGCTTGCCGAACAGGCGAAAGAAAATAACACCTAGAAAGCAGAAGATAAATTTTAGGAAAAATGACCATATGCCCGATTGCAACGGCTGATTGTTAGGTGGAAGATGTTTGCGGGTACTGTAGCACGTTCCATCGCTTTAACCTGACGTTTGCGTGACGTTACGATACCCGCCTCTCGCAAGTTCCCACCCGCCCCCGGTCGCCCAGCGCGTCGATAAAATATTCGTGACCCAGCGCGCCACACGTTGTGCCGGCCCCGCCACGTCGCAGCGCTGTAGCCGTGGGGCACAAGGGTTTGGCGGGACGGGGCTGCACGCGGGCAGCGCGATCAATGGCGCTTCTGGGCTAGAGCGGGCCCGCCTGGAACGCACACGGCGTGAGACATCGACGCGGGCCCCACCCCAGCCCAGCCCTACACCACCCGCCTCTGATGGCTGTGTGCCCCGGCGTGAAGCCGCGCTGATTACACAGAGAGACAGAGCGAGACACACGCACACACGCGGCTGGCAGACAAACGACCCGGCCAGCTGGCCCCTGCCTCGACCCATCCGCGCTGCCTGCTTGCCCCCGGGGGCAGACCGCCGCGCTGCCCCCGGGCCCAGAATTGATCTCTGCACTTTTGTTCTGGTTCGTTAGCGGGGGGAGGTGATTCCGGTAACTTCCTTTACTGACCCTGATCTTTCATTGTAATAAACGTACGCTTACTAAAAAGGTTATAAAAAGCCGTGTCAAACAGTTTTATAAGCTTTTTAAATAAAAAATCTGCGTAAAACTCTATTAAAATGGCCGTTTCATCAGGCAACGGGGAACAAGGTTTTTCTACGCTAATAATTTTTCGACGATTTTTCTTTATTCAATAAAAAGGATTTTCTGTACGTTTTTCGCGCTGAAATTTTTTTATTTCTCTGAGTAAATTTTCTACGCTCGATCGAATGGGACTCGCAAAATCACTCGTTAAATAAAATATTAAAATATTTGATATTTTTATATTTTTTATTTAACGAGTGATTTACCCGGTACTTCCGTGCGCCTTCAAAGGGACCGTCAAGGCTTTATCGAGATTTTTTGGCTGTGGATTCCCGCGACACGCAATTCGCACTACAACTCAGTGGTGGGCGTTATGTATCGCGGATTTCAGCAAATGCGTTGTGAATCCATACCCGAAATCCATAGATTGGTCTTGCGGGTGCCTTTAAGGCGCCAGATACCCTGAGTTGTGCCCCGGAACTGGCTAAGGATAAACCCTGGCAATCCGCGCCTTTTTTTGTATTGATAATAAGCGCCCTCGGTTTCAGCCCCTCTCTGCCATGTACCGGCTCATTTCCGCCCGTTTATAGCGGCGGGCCGAGGGCCGTGTGGCTGAGGCTCACCCGGGGTGGCCCGTTGGAGCGCTGTATAAACAGAAACACGCGACGGCGAGCGAGAGGGGGGCGCTGGATGCGAAGCGCAGAAGTAGCACTGCCGCCGCGCTTGCTTTTTTTTACTAGGGTATTGAAGTGTGTTGTGGGTTTAGTTTTTTGGACTTAGGTCTATTTTATTAAATTGGTCTATTCTTTCCCGGGTAAAGAGCTTCTAATGCACGGGCTCTCTCGAGCTTACAAGGAATCGGGTCTTTTGTACTAGACATAGCTCATTCGATAGAGCTTGAAATTCCGAGCAACGCTCTCATCTCAAAAACCACTGAACGATTACGGGATTCGAGAAACTGCGCTTCAAAACTTTTTTTTTGCGCAGCGCGGGGGTGAAAAAAAATGCAAAAAGCCCCTGCCGAGCTAGTTTTCTAGAAGGTTTATGATTAGATTTGATGAAAAGCAAGACATTAGTTTGGTATCCAATTCAAATGCCCTTCCGTTAGTGCACGCCCCGGGCGCTGATGATTCAACCGCGCCGCGCGCGAGGCGTGGGAAAGTGCGTTCGCCTCCCCGGCGAGTCTGCCCGCGTTGATTCTAAAATATTCCTTTTCCTTTTACATCTAGTTTACTTTTACGAATTTCACACAGAAATTCCAGCTCGATGTCGGCGCCGCGAAAACCGGGGGTCCGCCACCCCAAATACGCCATCATCAGTCTCGGCACCGAGCCTGACATCCAGACGCTTTTCGGGAAATTGGTAACTTCTATTTTTTGGGTAACAATTCTCAATTTTCAGCAAGAGCTCGGCTACTACGAGATCTCATTCGTGCACAGCCTCACCGATTCGCCGTATTACATCCAGGAGGAGGCGGCGGCGCGGAAGCGGCGGAAAGTGATCGAAACAGAGGTTTGTAGATTTTTAAGGTAGTCTAAAGACTTTCTGGCACTTGTTACCGAGTGAAAATCCATTTTCAGGTGAAACGAGATGCCCTCTCACCGCACAACTCTTGCACCCCGGCTTCCACATCGTTTGAGACCGACCTTGACGGAGGTTAGCTTTTAAGTTTTGGACATTTGCTTTTGGGTTATTATCCGGCCATTCATCCAGATCATGCCCATTCTCTAAAAAATCAGGTCATCACAAACCAGACGTGCTAGGCTGCCGGCGCGTAAGCGGCTTACCTGGCAACCCGCGTCGCGCTGGGCGGTAATTTTGAGCGCGCGTTGGTTTTTGGGGCGTGGGGGGAATAGTTGTAAAAAAGCGGAAAGAGCCTAGTGTAAATTGTATCGTTCGATTCTAGAAAAAACTGCAAGTAGCCTGATAATATACTTTTCAATTTTTCTCTTTTCAGCTGTTCCTACCACTTTTGACACGACCACGGAGGAAAAGCCGTTGGCCCGGATCGAAATCGTCGAAAAGGCGCTGAACCTTGGGAATTTGGGCGCGCTCGCCGGGGATGAAGATGTAATTTCTACCTGATAATTCCAACGATTTTTTTGTTTCTTAGGAAGGCGAGTCAATCCCTGAGCCCGAGTTCGATGAGGAGCCTCAAATCTCGGATGCACTGGTCGGTCCCTTGATAAAAAGCTTTTATTGTTTTATGAGATCCGTTCTCGCGCGCCCTATCTCTCTCTGTTTCTCTCTCTCTCTCTCTCTCTCTCTCTCTCTCTCCCTTTCTCTCTCTCCCTCTCTCTCGCTCACTCTAGGTCTCTGCCCTTTTTAAAGTGAATAAGATGCGATATATCAGCCTAATTCGTTAATCCAGATTCAACAGCTGTTCGACAAGCCCGAGTCGAGTCATGGATTTTCAAGGGACCGAGACTACAAGTATAAACTCGAATCGGGCGTCCAGGATTGTCAGGTAGATTATCGTCCAGCTTCGAAACTTACCATAATTTAGGAATGCGGCCGCCAGTTCTTCCAAAGCCAATTCAAGAACATCCTTGCCCACGCCAAGTCGCACTACCAGGTGAAGCCGTGGGGCTGCCCGTGTTGCTCGGCGCAGGCTGGGGACAGTCGCGAGATGCGGCTTCATATCCGGCAGCACCATCCGGAAGTGAAAAACCCGATGCCGGTCAGCAATGGGTGGGTTTTTGCTAGAATCCGTAATTTTTAGCATGAGCAAAGCCGATGAAAGCTTCTGCGTGTTTCCGGTCTAGCAGAGCTTTTCCCAGTAATTGCGTCCGGTCCTAGAACTGAATCTAGAGAATATTTTTAACAAGTTTTCATACAATGAGACTTTTTCGTCAAAAATTTATGAAAACGGGCCAACAACTAAGGTCGTAAAGAAATATAACTGGTCGTAAGAGCGCGAAAATGCTGCCGATATTTTTCTTCACGCTTTTAAGTCATAAAACAAGCCGCTCATTTCAGAATAGCCACAACGCGTCTGCGCGGTGCCTGGGCCCAGGTTGCTCGTCGCTGCTTCCCAAAACTCGCCGCCCGCATCGACAAATGGGAGCTAAACGTCTGCCGGCTGAAGCCGAAGGTTAAGGAGGATCCGGTGAGTATCCATACCTTTTTCTGAAGTTTTTAAAAAGGGTTTAAAAACCAAAAAATCTTTATTGGCGGCCGCCGCGTATCAGAAATGGCACAGTACAAGACACTTTGTTGACGAGTCGAATGAATCGGGCGAACAATCGGACAGCGAGACACTTTTTAAGGGGTAAAGGCGGGTGGCGGGGGTGGGCTATTTGTTGAGGGCAGTGTAGAGGCGCTCGAGCGGGTCGTCGTTCTGGAGGCCGGCGTCGTCCTTGCGCTTCTGCATGCACTTCTCGGTCCCGTGGGCGCAGCACCTAGACGGAAACCCAGTTTTTTTTGCACTTTCGGGCGCGGCCGATTTTTTTATAAATCCAGAAAAAAAATAGTATATTTTTAAAAAATCGAATTTTTGGCCGAAATTCATTTTTTTCTTGTCGTCAAAACCCGGATTTTAGTTTAGTAAACTAGACGTTCCCACCTGACGTAGTCATTTTCCGGATCCGGCGTATCCGGGCACACGGTCGCATCCATCCCGTTGAACGTGCCGGTGCTGGCGGTGTAGTTGTCCAGCGACGTGTCAAAGTGCAGGGGGCCCATCGTACCCCCCCGTGGTCGTCGACGTGGTGGTGCTCGCGCGCTTCGGCCGCACGCGCTGCAGGAAGTTGGTGGCCTTGTTGATGTCGCGCTCGAGGCTGGTGGTGGCGCGGCTGTCCTGCAGATCACGGCCTCGCGACGCCGAGCTAGCCACCGAGCAACTGCCCGTCGTGTGGCCGGGCGATTCGGAGACGGGCGGCACGTAGACGGCGACGGCCTCCGGGAACATTGACTCGTCCTAAATTGGCTTTTTGGCGGCTTAAAATGAGTTTTTCTGCTCTGTTAGCGGGGGGGGAGGTAAGCGGGGGAATTTTTGAACTGTCCAACATTGTTTGACTTTTAGTAATTAAAATGACGAAAAACACGATCAAAATATACACTATAAAAAGGCTAACAAATTTGCTAGGTGATTATGATTCATACTCCCTACCGTCGTCTCCCCGGACGGCGTCAGCTCTCTGCTCGGCGGCTGGACGAAGCGCGGGGTGGACGCCTTCGACTTGTTCACCCTAGGAATATTTTTTATTTTCACGAGCTCGAGCTCACGCTCCGCCTCCTCCCGCCTTCCTCCGAAATTCCAGGCGCAGCGTGAACGTGTCGGCGCCGCCGGGGCAGAATTCGCTACGCGCTAGCTCGAACTAAAAAGGGGTTTTCAAAGCGCGGCAGAACCCACCTGACGAAAGTCCATCTTCGAGTAGCGTAGCCGGGCTGATGCTTTCGCCTCTTTATATATGAACCGGGGATTCTGGAATTCGGCGAAACCGGAATTCTGAGAATTTATTCAAAACAAAACTCCGTGCTAATAATACTTCAAAATTTGTATAGCTCTAAACTGAAAATGAAATGATTTTGGATTCAATTAGACCATTATTGAACCTTTTTCAGGACGTACGAAAGCTCGCCCAATTCTGCAACGACCCCGAACAGGAGGCCAGCATGTTGATCGCCGGCAAATGGATCGGCAATCTCCACGTGCCATGCCAGGTTGGACCTGAAGAGATTGAAAAGCAGAAGCATTATTTCAGCTTTTCAAAAACCCTTCTTTGCTTTAAAAACGATTAACACATTTTCTTTCAGATGTGCGCTAAAGTGTTGGCCTGTCGCGATGTGTCCATCCTCGTCCGCCACGCAAAGGTAATAGCTGGGGTTTTTGTCTTGAAACCAATTGTTAACAAAACTGGGAAACAAAAAACAATGACATTTTTAGACCCATCACCCGAAAAAACAGTTCTCGTGTCGGGAGTGTGACTACACGAACTCGGAACGACGAAATATGCGCCAACACATCTTTTCCGTGCATGGGCTGGGCGGGGATCAGTTTTCGGATGATAGGTAAGGTTTTTACGAAGCAAAAACCGGTGATATTTACAGAACTTCCGAGCTCGAAGATGCTTGGGCGCGCGTGGGAGGCGTTTGCTTCCCGGAGATGAGCGAACGAATCTCAGAAGCCGTCCTGGCCTACCGCCCGAAGTTGTACAAGGGAAAGCCTATTGCAGAAAACGTTGAGGATGACGATGACTTTGACGACTGCGACATTGACGCCCTATCCAACTCTCCCTAATGGTCGAGGGCCCCTGTTGTATTGTGATCTCTATGAAAAGTTGCTCTCTTGCCAAACACAGATTTTTACTTGCCAAAATAATCCAAATTTCCGGGCCTTTTACTAGTCAATTGCCAGGGTTGTTACCGGCAATCCTGTCCTAATGTTCAAATTGCTCGATCTACCCTCTAAAAATTTTTATCACAGAAATAAAAAATAAATTAACGACTAAAAAATCACAGATCAACAGCAAAGCTATTTTGCCAAGGTTGGGGTGCTTGGAGTCGAGGCGTTAGTCTCTTGGCCCTTCGTGCGCTGGCCATCATTCACAGTTTCGGTTTTCCCCTAAAAACAGAGTGGTTACCGAATCAATGGGAAACCTGAAGTACAATGCGCGGCTTCACGGTAGATCCGCTGCGTTTTGAAGTGTCGGTATGCTTCTCATATTTCATGCGTTGTCGATCGTTGAGCTGTAGTGTTGATTGCATTATGCGACCAATCTTCAAGTTTGCGTCGTCTCGCATAGCGTCGAAAGTCCACAGTGAAACCTAACAACAAATACGACAACTACAGTGGAATATACCTTGTCCCCTTTGCTTCGCACATTGACGACTGCGCCGCAGACGTAGGAGCCGTAGCTTTCGAATTGCTCGCCGAGCATGAGCATCAACGTTTCCAGCCAGTAGAAATCGACATTGCATTCCCTAGAAAAAGTGAAGCAGCGAAGGGAAAACAAACTTTTCTCTGCCTTGCTCCACATTCAGGAGCCAGCGCCCGCCATTGATATTCCGCGGATCCTCCCACATAGGACGAATGCCCTAAAAGAAATTTGCCCACAAAATAAGGAACTTTACCTCTTTGAAAATGTAGTAATCTGAGCCGGGATGGAGAGATGAGGGCTTTTGGATATGGTTGTAAATTCGCCAGAAGTCTTCGACGGTGTCGAACGTGGCCACAGGCATCAGGCACTCTTCCCACGAACGTTCACGGTCAAACTAAAAAAAAGTAAGTGAGATCGAACGAAAAATACCATCATGTGATAGAAAACCCAGCGGTAGGTGAGCGGGTGGCCCATGGGAACTGGAGGGACTGGGCTGGAGTCGCCACTTTGTCCCGCAGACATCTAGAAAAGCTTGAATACAGCGCGAAATGCTCTTGCCTGAGATAAGTTTTTCATCGCGGAGGCCTCCGAAACGTGAGGATAATTCTAGTGGTAGTGACCTGGAAAAAGGGCTACACTGAAAGTCGGGGAAGAAGGGGAGCAAAGCGTGAGCGAGAAAGTTATAAAACTGAGAAAATCAAAGTGATTTCGAAACTTTTTCCGAACGCCGGTGTACATCGCAACACGTACGAATTTCGTAATTTGTTGCCTTTCGGAGCGTATTGTACCGGAAATTCTCGAAAAAGAAAATTATGGTTTTGTGCAGGTTCATAGGGTTTTTTTTAAGTTTTTCTGTAAGATTTTCTATTCTATGAAAGGCGTTTATCTATTTTATTAATTTACGATTTTAGAGCACGATGCCCGGCCGTAGTAACTCGGCCCGCCAAGCGCACCCGATGGCTCAACCGGCAAATGGGAAACGGCCGCGCTTTCGTAGCGAGCAGGTGATATTTCTTGTTTCTGCTTCAATCGTTCTCAGAATGGACAACCCTTCTGCACCTACTGCAACTCCTCGAAATCGGGCAATCCGTTTGGCCACATGAAGCAGAGCTGTCCCAAGATCGCCAATCTGGCTCCTTGTGTACTGTGTGGAGCGGCCGGAAAATTGAATCATACGATCGGGTGAGATTTTGTTCTTCTATGCCTAACTTGTGAGCTCCCAGATCAAATCCTCTTTCCAGGCACTGCCCCAAGAACAAGCAACTCTTGGTGCTAAAGGATTCCGAAGAGGTGGCCAAGCAGCGACTGAAAGCTATCAAAGAGCGGGTGAGAGGTTGTTTTTTAAAATCGACATTTTACTTTTAGTTTATGGAGAGCATCCCGATGAACGCCGAGACTTGGTACTATTTCAACGAGAAGCCCGATGCTTAAAAGTTTCTATTTTGTCAATTTTCTGTATTTAATATTTCATGCATGTGCATGCCTTTCCCCGTCCCCTTGTGCATTTCTGTGTAATGCCTGTTCCGTGTAATAAAGCGTTGAAGAGCAGAAGAGGAATTAACGCGCGCATTTCACGAATCTCTTTATTACAATTTTGGTTGTAAGAAATTCATGGATGAAGTGAGTGGAGGGATTGCTTGTCGAGTTGTGAGGGTTGCCCATCAGGTAGAGCCGTGGTCCGGTGGAGTTTTGTTTTCTGCAACGCCATCGTTTGTGTTCGTTTTAGGTTTCTTCGCACCTATTCTTTCGCGCTGTTGCCCTGCGTGTTCTCTGGGTCCGGTTGCTTCTTCGTGTCGGACTTCTGCTTTCTTTTCGGCTTCTGCGATTGCCCCTTTGCCTGCAACAAAAGCGGATAATGAAAGGGTAAGTGGATGATGGAAACTGTCGAAAAACAGTAAATAAAAAAATTCCCCACATTCTTCTGACTTTGCGCTTTCTTTTCTTCGTCTTTCTTGTCCTCCTTCTTCTCGTCGTCCTTCTTGTCACTGCCGCCCTTCTCGTCCTTCTCCTCCTTCTTCTCTTCCTTTTTCTTCTCACTGGCCGGCGCCTTCTCATCCTTCTTCTCATCTTTTTCATCCTTTTCTTTCTCGTCCTTCTCATCCTTGTCTTTGTCTTTTTCCTTATCTTTCTTCCTTTTCTTTGATTGCTTTTCCTTGCTGTTGTCCTCGTTCTCACCCTCCTTCTTCTCCTTTTTCACGGACTTCAGCTGTAAGGTGCGCTCGTGTAGGGAATATACAGCCTGACCAACCACACTCTTAGGCTTGACTGGCGGCTCGACTGGCTCGGCGGGGGCCGCGGTAACTTCCTTGCTTGCCGGTGGTGGCTCTTTGCTCTTCGTTTTACCCTTGCCGCTAGGACCCGTCCCGCTCGCGCCCTCCTTCTTTTTGCCGGCTATCATCTGAAAACAACATCATGCTTTTAGGTTTTTAGGCTCACATAGCAGCTCTGGTTTTGCAACTTCTCGCCGGGGACCAACACTTGCTGATCGCCACGCATGGGATCCACCACCTTCTCGGCGCTGGCGGCTGGCCAAAATGTGTTGAATTAACACAGTAACCGGGATTAACAGACCTTTTTAGAATTTTTCGGATCCTTGCCGGCCTCCTTCGAAGCGATGTCCTTGCTGGGCGGGGCGGGCTCACCGGTTTGAACAATACTGGGTGGCATGCCGGCCCCGGTTTGCACAGCACAACTGATCTCGCCTGACGGTGCTTTATGGGCAGTCTTCGCTTCTTCCTTGCTCGCCCGGGCAGCGCTTGACAGAATTGGTGGTACAGGACTTTTTTTTGGTGCTTTTTTAGTTTTTAATGCATAATGAACGTTTTGAGGTTTGATTAAACGAAGCTTAAACCCTTGAAATTGGATTTTTATACATTTTTGGCGGAAAAACAACAGTTTTCTGAAACTTCAATATCTTTGGAGTTCCATGCTTAAAAACTAAGCTAATATCGATACCTCTTCTTAGCAGCTTCCTTGGTTCCCGGCTTCTTCGGTGCATCTTTCTTTCCTGTTCCCGTTGCTGCTGCTGCGGCGGCGGCTTCTTTCTTCTTCCGGTCCTTAATATTCAGTCGCGCCAACGGGTTATCTTCGTCAATTGCTTCGAGATCGGTCTTCGGGCCGCTGTCGTCCTTATTGTCGCCGTTTAAATTCCACTGGTCGGCCAGGTTTCCCACCGCCTCTAAAAAGAGGCAAGAGTTTTTGTACCTCACTTTGCTCCGCCTTTGTCTACAGGGGTGTGTGTATAAAGCATACCAAAATTTTTGTATTGCTCTGGTGAGTATCTTGGTATACTTTACATCCCTGTAACACAACGCTGAGCCAAGATACAAGAGTTGGAGTTATTCTGAACTTCATCTCCTTACCCGTTTTCTCCTTCTTCTCCACCGCCCTCTCGCTTTTCTTCTTTGGTCGTTCTCCTGGACTTGGTTTCTCCGCACTCTGAAGGAATCGATAAGAATTTCCGATTCTAAAAAATAGAATGCTTTTCTCGATTATAGCCAACTAGAAAGACTTCAAGCGAAAGAAAAAAGTACCAAAGTCACCTTCTTCTTGGCACAGCCCGCGAGTAGAAAGATGTGCATCATTAATGCCGTGATACCCAGCCAAATAACACCAAGGAAGGGCATTACGAACAGATAATAAATAGATTTGTCTTCGGCCGGTCGGTGCGCTTTGTAGAAAATGGGGTGCTGGGGGTGCGGTGGGCTTTTTGAGGGGCCAAAGGGTAGGAAATTTTGGGTTGTTTCCGGGATTCAATGAGTAGTGATATGCATTTTTTGTTTTATTCAAATTGCATACTTGTGTAGATCTATTTTATTTATTTGCAGACGACACTTTAGAAATGGATTCGACTCGTCGAATACTGGAAGGCCGGCGGTGGCTTTTGCGGTTCGCGCCACCAGAAGGAGAAGAACAGGATGAGAATGGCCAACAGGGCCAGCTGAAGTGTTGCGAAGCCCAGGGTGTAGAGCCTGAATTTTCGCGGTTCTACAAATTCTGGAACGGCAAACCTGTGCAACACGATGCGGTCGATTTTGGCAGCGTCTTTCGATGAATCTTCGGTTGTTCCCTCGTTTTGAGGGGTTCTGAAACTTTTTCGGTACTCGGCGACCAGTGAGACGTAATGCAAAATGATTCTTTGCAGCGTTAAAAATAAAAAATGTCGCGATTTTGACTTTTCCCCTCACCTGTACTTCACTTCGGCCTTCTTCCTCCCGCTCCCCGGACATCTTCCGGCAAAGATGTAGAGGAATGAGGGCAGGGGGCGTCTTCTGGTTTTCAGATGTGCCAACCAGATTCCGAGGGTCACGGAAGCGGTGCAAACGCCGAGGCAGGCCAGGATGTAGATGCCTAATTTATGAGGCTTATGATCTCGACTACGCAACACACCTATCAACGGAACTGACGCGGATCTGGGGAGATTCTCGGCGACGATCGAGAGCGTGATCGAGAGGGCCAGCATACTTGATAGCCCAACGGAAATCTGGAATTTTGAAATTTTCGGTGCTTTTGCAATATAGGGGGGGTAAAACTCGACAGGCTAAAACGGGGGTGTGTTTCATCTACGCCTAATAGTCTTATTTTTTCCGCTGAAATACTCACAACATCCTGGCCTCCCGTATCTCCCTTTGGCATCAATATACCAGTTACGGTAAGCGCCGAGATTAGAAACGATGGGGCGACGATGACCACGATGAAGTAGATGGGGCAGCGTGCGAGTTCGGCCACGAAAGAGATCTAAATCAAAAATTTCGCAGGCACTTAAAGATCAGGTGATATTATAGCCAAAATATAACATCTTAAGCTGACCTCCTTCATGCCCTCCCCGTTATGGGTGTAGTTCAACTCGGCCACGGCCAGCGTTCGCATTATGAATTCGCTGTTGCCCTGGAATAGGGTAGGGGTTCGGCCCTTTAGACCTTTCGAAAACTCACACGCATTAATGGCGGCTGTTTGACGAGACTGCCGTGGAGGCTCACGTATTTTGGGGGCTGCAGCGGCGAGGCGACCTCGAGGGCGCAGTGCTGGGTGTCGAATGGCATCCTGTAAGGGTGGGAGATTACGGTAACGCGAGCGCTTAAGCTGGGCTTAGGCTAGACCTAGGCCGCAATCTTAAAATTAAAAGTTTATTAAACAAAAGTGCCCATTAGTAGATAATTTTGATCGCATCGTGTTCCCCGTATTTTATTTGATTTTTCCACCAATTTTCAGCCGGTTTGGAGCTTGTGACCTGACAACCTCTACATGTTAGGCCTGACTTAGGCTAGGCTCAGGCTTAGTCTTAGGCTTAGGCGTAGGGTTAGGCTTACGCTTGGCTTAGGCCTAGGCTTGGATTTAGTCTTAGTCTTAGGCTTAGGCTTGGGCTTGTCTACCTTTGCACCCAGATATCACATAGTGTCCGTGAGAACTGGACGAGTTGCATCACCACGGAACCGTCGGGGTAGATCTGAAAACTACAAGGTGCGAGGAGTTCGCTCGACTCCCTTACCTCCACATCCTCTTGGCCCTTCTGGAGCAGGTTTTTCGTCTCGATACTAAATACGGTATCTCATCGGCGATTTAGGCGACAGTACCTGTTGTAGACGATCAGCCTTGGGGTCCAGATCTCGGTGGATGGAACGTAGATTCGTGTTTCGTTGCCGAACTGACGTGGGCTGTATTTTAGCCGATCGTCTTGCCATGTCTAAGCGGGGGTTTTAAAGGTTCCGAACACATTTTTGTAGTCCGTCGCCTTTCGAGTATGTGGTTTGTTTTTAGCCTTGTAAATGACAACTAAACCCGAATAATGGGTCTGAAAACTCGTCTTTTTTGGATTTTTTGATTTTTGGTAGTTAAAGTGAAAAAAGTTAAAAAAAATGGTAAAGTTTAGAGCCCCTCAAAGGTGGAGTTTGTAGTTTGGCACGAGAAGAGGAGGTTTTTAAACGTTTCAAAAGCCTGAAAAATATCTAAAGGGTTGATTTTTCGCTTTTTAATCGATTTTAAAAGGCCGCTGAAGTCAAGGCAGATGGCGAATTTTTATAAAAATGAGTATTCGAAAAAGTGGGTTAATTTGTAGTGAACTGACCACAGTAAAAGAGTATAGCCAAGAAGCAATCTGCGCATCTTCCAATATCTCGGCCAGCCACATCAGTGGCAGGCTGATGGAGACGTTCACCGTTTTCCCGCTTCTAAAAAGCCAGCGTTTTTAGTTTAATAAATTTCAGTTTAAAGATTAAAGCTTAAAAAAGCTTACATATAATACGGGCTCATCCGCTTGTCATAGTTGATGTCGATTTTTTGCGTTAGATAGGAGGTGTTGGCTGGAAATCGGGTTAAAATGCGAAAAATGAGTCTGAACTTACCGACATTTAGGAGACCAAGGAGGAGCGGATATTTGTGCATTAATGGCCTAAAAATTGGTTAAAACTATTGGAAATTTATCGAGAAAAGAGAACGTTGGGATCGAGGATTAGGCTTCAGGCTTAACTTAGTATCATGTCGAGGTTCATGTAGAGGTTGCGAGGTCACAGACTCCAAATCGGCTCAAAATTGGTGGAAAAATCAAATAAAATACGGGGAACACGATGCGATAAAAATTAGCTGCCAATGGGCACTTTTGTTTAATAAACTTTTAATTTTTATGCAAAAAAGTGCTGCTGAAATGCACTTTTAACTGCCTTATCGGGCCTTCCGGCTTGGAAAAAATGTTTTGATGGAATTTTCATAGCAGCCACGACACCAGACACCTTTCCACACCCGAAAAAAATTTGATCTGGAAAAAATTTTTTACGAAAATTTTGACTACCTACCCTATAGCCCCGGATCCTGGGAAGGTTGGAAGCTGCTTACAATAGGTGGCTCTGACCCCTAGGCGCTTCAAATCGGAGCCCGGAAATATTTCAGATTGCCCGAATAACTCTATATTTTTACAAAGTCTGTGCAAAAATAATATTTATTAACTATTTTGTTGGTTGTCATCGAGCTGGAATAGGTAGGTAGACCCTTTTTCCCAAAAACTTCCAAAATTTTCGAAATTTTATTGTTCTGCCCCGGCGACTCATAGGGGTTGATAAAGCCGAAAAACTTTCGAAAACACATTTTGGATATTTTGGACCCTCTTCCTGCAAAATAAAAGCGAGAACAGCAAAAAGCAAAAATTAAAAATAACGACGGGATCTGAACCTTCGACCACTAGCTTACCACCCCCTGCACCTTACCCCATACAGTAAGGGTCCGACGGGAAACGGCTCTTGGGAAGCCTTCAAGAGGGCTCCTCTCCCCCCTAATGGTTTTGGCGCCCCAGGTCGCGATTCTAGGTAGTTTTCCATACAAAATCTTAAAATTAAAAGTTTATTAAACAAAAGTGCCCATTGGCAGCTAATTTTTATCGCATTGTGTTCCTTATATTTTATTTGATTTTTCCACCAATTTTGAGATGTTTTGGACTCTGTGACCCCACAACCTCTACATGTTAGGTTAGGCTTAGCTGAGGCTTAGCTTAGGCGTAGCTTAGGTATGGCTTAATATTGGCTAGACGATACTCAGGCTTAGGCTTGGCTTATGCTTAGACATGGGCTTCGGCTTAGGCTCAGGCTTAGGCTTAGGCTTAGGGTTTGGCTTAGGCTTATAGGCTTATGCTTAGACTAGGGCTTGGGCTTAGGCCTAGGCTGAGGCTTTAGCTTGGGCTTCGGCGTACGCTTAGGTTACGCCTAGGCCGAGGCTTCGTTGACTTAGAACCCCTCCAGTATAAAACCCAAATTTCCGCATAATCAAATGACAGGCACCCCCTCCCGCCAGGAAATGCCATCAAACCGAAAAATGGGCTCTCGACAATTTCGGGCGGGAAGGGCCCTTCAATTATGGCGAGTGGCCCTGGAAGAGAGGGGCGCATTTTAGGGAAATGGGCCCCGCGGGGTGGACGTCTTGAAATCGTGGCTGTTGACGTTGGGATTATAATGAAATACATAAAAAGTAAGAAGGTACCCGATTTAGGGGCATGCTTTAAAAAACAGCCAAAACGGGGGAACGGATGGGCTCTTGGGCAGACCTCGACAATTTGATTTTCGGCCTTCAGAATGGGCCTTTTCGGGGGTTAACCTCACCCGGAAAAGCAGGAAAAGGTGTAAAATACTAAAAAACACCTTGGATTCTAGATTACGATATTTATAAAAGTAAAAATGATTTTTCTAGTCAGTAATTTTTTTCTTAAAGCTAGTTCGAACTATCGTTTAGACTGGTTCGAACCTTTTTGGGGCTATTTTTCCGCGTCGCTCCATTTTACGAAAAACGGAGCGACACGGAAAAAAAGGGAAGGAACGTTGCGCCCCGGGGTAAGGACCCTCGCGGGGGCCATTATTGGACCCAAGGGAGATCCTGAAAAAGGACAGGGTTGAGGACGTGATTTGGCACGATGAAAGAGGGGAAAAAACGATGGAATTTTTACGGATTTCCACTTCCCACCTTCCGTCTTAAGCTGAGGTTTAGACTTAGCTTAGCTTAGCTTAGGCTTGGTTCTAGGCTTCGCTTAGGCTTAAGCATGGCTTGAGGCTTTGGCTTGGGCTTGGGCTTACATGTAGAGGTTGTGGGGTCACAGACTCCAAATCGGCTCAAAATTGGTGGAAAAATCAAATAAAATACGGGGAACACG